CCTGACTTTGGAGCGGGCTGAATCCTGGCCTTGCCCTCTACTGGCTGGGTCCCTTCTCTGAGCCTCCGTTCCCCAGGCCGGGCTGTCACGCGGATGAACTCAGCAATGTCTGTTGAGTGCTCAGTACAGGGTCTCACCCACATACTGGTAGGGGCTGCAGAAATGTTAGCTGCTGTTATTATTGCGATTACTATCCCCATCCTTGCACATTCAAAAGCTCTTTCCTCAGCTTGCCCCGGGGGCCCGTATAAAGCTGCCCCATATTAGGTTAAATATGAGGTTTGAATACCCCTCGAATGCTCTTGATCCGATTCATCTGTGGCACCAGCAACTAAGGCAAGTCCATGAAACAGTCACATGATCAGTGTGCAAAATAGCGGGCGCCCAGTTAAGTTTGTCAAAGTCCAGTGGCCTCATTTGAACAGGGACAATGGTAAACGTTCCTAAGAGTGAAATAAGTGAAATCTGAAACTTCTCAGTTGCAAAAGCCTGGGCTGTTTTAGATCTTTCTGTTTCCCCCCCCTGAGGAGGGAGCCTGGACCTCAGACTTGAATCTATTTTCCTCCTAAAATGCTCCTCTGTGAGGCCTGGTTCTCCAGCCCAGTCCTCCACAGCCAGCAGGTTCATGCCAGGGCCCAGTGTCCAGCGTCGGGAGGGCTGAGGCTGTCCTTGCCCCAGGGCTGTCCTGGAGACGGGCCCCCTAGACACGGGCTGGTCCACGGCCAGCCGAGCCCAGTGTTGCCAGGCCCCAGTTGCCGGGTGTAGTCCCATTCAGCAGGGGCCTGGTGGCTCCAGACAACAGCTGGAGACCAGAAATGAAGACTTCCAGCTACAAGCAAATGTTGCTGCTTCTTGAGGTTAAAATATTCTGTCCCCCAAGTTCCCCTTTCAGCCAAGCAAAAACAATCCCCCACAGGGACCCGACCCTGCCACAGAGGAACAAAAGCTCTCCAGTTCTCAGAGTCCCAGAGACTGGTCTGCAGTTTCAGGCTCACACAGCCCAGGGGGGAAGAGGAGATGATCATGTGATTTCCAAGCTTGGAGACAAGGTCACCCTTGTCCAGCCCTTTGCGTCTCCACAGGAAGAAGAGCCTTTGATTGCCTGACAAAGGACGCGGCTGATGCTGCCCTGGTGTGGGCTCCCCAGAGGGCGGGTGTTACAATGTCCAAATCTCTCAGGTTTCGGAAAACAAGGAGGTGAGGTTAAGGTGAGCGGTGCCCCAAGTCTGCGCAGATGGGTTTGGGGTGCTCTTCCTGGTCCTGCTTCAGGCAGGACAGCTGCACGTTCTGGCTGCATTTAGTTTTCTGCTGCAGGCTAAGCGGTCTCTACGAAATTTACTAGTGGGCCACCCCATATGTTTTCCACCAGCCATGAAAAAGATTTTCCTTCAGAATGTATTCGCACATGACATATCTGGTGAGGGGTTGATAACTAAACTGTATAAGGAACTCATACAACTCAGTAACGTAAAATAATCTATCCAATTAAAAAAATGGGCAGAGGACAGAAAAAACATTTCTCCAAAGACATACAGATGCCTACAGACATATGAAACAATGCTAAACTAATTATCAGGGACATGCAAATCAAAACCACAATAAGGTACCACCTCACACCTGTCAGAATGGCTATTATAAAAAAACCAATGAATAACGTGTTGGTGAAAACGTGGAGAAAAGAAAACCTTGTGCACTATTGATAGGACTGCCAATTGGTGCAGCCACTATGGAAAACAGTATGGAGATTCCTCCAAAAACCAAAAATGGATCTACCATGTTACCCAGCAATTCTACTTCTGGGTATTTATCCGAAAAGTTCAAAAAGATATATGCAGAGATTTACCAAATAGCTTATATGCATATATGTGTAACCCATGGATACAGACAATAGAGCAGTGAAGGGCTGAGGTGGGGCAGGAGCCAGTTGGAAGAGGGTAATGGGGGGAAAATGGGGGACATCTGTAAGATTCTCAATAATAAAGATAAATTAAAAAAAAGATATATGCACCTTTATGTTCATTGCAGTATCTTTTACAATAGCCAAAATATGGAAGCAACCTAGATGTCCATCGATAGATGAATGGATAAAGATGTGATACATACATACACACACACACACAATGGGAGTTTATTCAGCAATAAAAAAAGAATGAAATCTTGCTATTTGTGACATGGATAGAACTAGAGAGTCAGATGAAGAAAGACAAATACCACATGGCTTCACTTATATGTGGAATCTAAAACAACAACATGCAAATGAATAAACAACACATAACAAAAACAGCAGCCTCATAGAAACAGATTGAACTGATGGTTGCCAGAAGAGCGGAGGGTGTGTGTGTGTGGGGGGGGCGGGTAGGTAGAAAAGGTGAAGGGGAATACAGTTAGTAACACTGTGATAACTGCCTGGTGACAGGTGATTACTAGACTTAGTGTGAAGATCACATTGTAAAGTATATACATGTTCAATCACTATGCTGTACACCGAGAACTAATATAATATTGTATACCAACTATACGTAACATTTTACAAAGTCAAAAAGAGCTCCTGGGAAAGAGAGAAGGAAAGTTCAGAGAAGAGAAACACGTGAGTGAAGCTTTCAGGGGCCATCATATCGCAACAGCCACCGCAGGGCTGGGGCTGGCTGCTGTGGTGCAGGCCAAGGTCGGCTGGGGAGAGGACAGAAGGAAAGAGAGGACCATGAGCTCCATGTCCAGGTAAGGTGCCTGCCAGAGAACTATAGTAAGTCCTCACTTAACGTCGTTGATAAGTTCTTGGAAATTGCGACTCTACGTGAAGTATAATGAAACTAATTTCACCATAGGCTAATGGATATAAATAGGAGTCAGGTTCCTATGGCATATTTCTGCTCACAAAACATCACCAGACTTCTAAATAAAGACCTCTGAAAACATTTCTAGTATTAACCATTGAAATACGTGTGAGCTGTATCCTAGACACGTCTCCTTGTTCTTAACCCCCCACCTCTACTCTACAACAACAAGGCACAGCTACCATTTGCTGAAATGATACTAAGATAATAACTCATCACAACTCCGTGGGCAGGTACTGAATTGCCCCCATCTGACAGATGGGAAAGTAGGCACACAGGGCTGAGTCACTGGCCCAAGGTCATGTGATAAGCGGTGGGGTGGGGATGTGAGCCCAGACCCTGAGTACCAACCCCTGGCCCGAGGGTGTAGCCAGCTTACTCTCACCTGGTTCTCCCCTCCCTCCAGGGCTGGTTTGGGGCCTGGTCAGGTCGCCCGAGTCTCTCACTTGTGTACCTCCGAGGCTCTGATGGGCCTCCTCACCCTCGGTCTTACCCACTCCAATCTGTTTTTCCTAATGAAAGTGCCTATCCCTCTAAACTAGGACTCTGATGTCACTCCTCCACCGATACCCTCCGAAGCCTCCCTGTTTTACACTTCCTGGTCCCTCAGCAAATGAGTGGTGGGAGCGGAATCCTGTAGGCTGACTCTAGGGCTGTGCTCTCCACTACCACCCCACGCTGCTCTCTGAGCCCGTTTCCTCACTGGCGAAACAGGGCAGCAGTACCAGCAGAAAGGGCTGTCACGGTACGCACAGTGCCTGACAGGAGAGAGCTGGGCGCAGAGCGGGCAACTCACGGAGCGGGCAACTCACGGAGCTTCCGTTGGTGTTATTACAATGGAGGGTGGGCAGAGGAAGAGCTGGCTGCTCTGAGAGGCAAGACGAATTCCACCTGGGATAGTAACTACATGAGTGTTTTAGACATCTTCTCTCACTTCATCTTCATTACCTTCTGGGGCACAGATATTATTATATTTACAGGGAGGGAAACTGAGAAGTGGATTGACCACCTCAAGGTGGATTCAAACCTAAGTTTTTCTGAGTGCAGAGCCTCGTGCTCATCCTGAGAACCGCCCGTCTCACCGGGTGGCGTGCGGATTTGGAATTCCAACTCTTTCGAATCTTCCCAGCTGAAGATCACTGCGGGTCAGAGCTGCGGCGAGACCTGAGGGAACCTGGAGACACTTGGGAAAAACTGAGCCAACAGTGCAGCCTGGCATGGGCACAGGTTAGGAAAAGTGAGGGTCTCCCTGCACGCGACACCATTCTTGGAGTTGCGGGGGGGGGGGGGGGGGGGGGCGGCGCCCATAAAGACGACAAGACAGGGCCCATCCCATTTCTACAACAATGAGAATATTTATTTTCTCCAGGCAGTAAAAATAACATTTTTCTCTCTTTTGTAAAAGTTAAGTACCATTACATTCCATTTTCTTAAATAACAAAACCCCTAAAAATATATATTAAATTGTATACAGTGCGTCACACTTCATCTTATATTTTAAAATACATGATGTTTCTATTTTATTCTCAAAGTTGCATATTAAGAGCATATTTACAAATAAAGCCTTGTCATCCAAAGTCAAGATCCCCACAGGAAGGTGAGCCTGGACGTGGGCAGGTCTGGACGCTGCGTGACCCCTGCGATGGCAGCTCCCGCCGCGTGCTCCCGAAGACACATTCTTTCTGAAGCAGATGTGCCTCGGACTTCCTTCCACACCCCGCTTCCGTCTTGTTGAGTATGCTGGACTCACAAGACAGAGCCTGTGCAATGGGCACCCCCCTGGGTCTGCAGGCAGCGGGGGAGGCCCTTTCACCCCTGAGCCGGCCAGCCTGAGGGGAGGCAGCTGCGGCTGGAAGGTTTGAGAAATACCCCACGCCAGGGCAGCTAAGCTGAGAGACCTGGCCAGGAGGTAGAAGAGTGAGGAAGGTAAACAAAGACACCAGAGGAAACAAGTAAAAGGTTAAAAATTCCCAAGGTAGTAACAATAGCCGGCATCAAACCCCACATAGGAGATCTGCAACCCAAGAGGGTGCCAGTTGACGGGGCTATGGCGTGGAGCTGGCCTGCTCTGCGGGAGACCTGGGGTGGCCTCGGCAGGCAGGGGAGACTGGGATCTCTGAGGCCGTCCACTAAGTGCTGGTGAGGATTAAGTGCTCGACGGGACGCACAGAGGCTTGGCGACAGCCTGTGTGCCCGCGGGTGCTGGGATGGCCTGGCCGGATCCTCAGCTGGGTCAGGCGACTCCTGCTTGAGCTGACGATGGGGCGTGTGGGGAGGCCTTTCCCCACAGGTCTGGCCTGAGGTCCAGAATGGCGGCATTCACTAGTGCTTTGATCTTCGTGGGTTTCTGGTTGACTGGAATCTTGAGCTAGAGCCCACACTTCAGAAGTTACAGCATTCACCTTACCTCGCTTATTCCCAGAGGCCTTCTACCCTGTTCTGACATGGGGTGTGGGGGTAGGTACCCCGGGTTCATTCCTACTCCTTCTCTGCTCTGTAAGCAGCGACACATGGGGAAGAGCACGGGCACTGAGTGCCTTCTAGAGGGGCCAAGGGCACTGAAACACGGCGAAGGAAAGGGGAGGCAACAAGGGCAGTGGCCCTCCCTCATGGTGGGACATACACGGAGAGCCAGGGCCTGGCTACCAGCAGTGAACGGGAAGAGGAGGGCACGCAGGTCCTGAGGCACCCACTTGCAGCCTCCTCCACTCACCCACCTCAGGGCAGAGGCTGTGGACTGGATGCTTTCAGAGCCACTGCCCACGGTGGTCCCCAGAGCCCCCGCTTCCTGTTTCATCATCTTCCGCAATGTGATCTGTAATGGACTTTTCTCAGGGTCACCCTTTCCAATCACCTCCAACCCCATTCTTTCTCTCTTCTAGAGCAGTGTCTTAAAAGGCCAAGTGCCTCCTGGAGGCACACCTAACCTCTTGCTTTCTCAGCTGTTTACTTAGCCACAGGGGATCCTCTGTGGGGTGTTGCCGACAGGCTCCAACCAAGACATGGCCAGGCTGTGGCCAAGGAGTGTGTGGAGGGTCAGCCTGCGATGGTTTATGGCTCTCTTCCCCCATGCTGTCCTGAAGCTGGTTTGGGATTCCCGTGGCCCCTCCCTGGGCAGTAAGTTGATCCTGGAGGCACTGGGCTGCTCCAGGACCGGCTGGAAGGAGAGCACTGGGGCATCACCAGCGCTTCCAGGATCTCTGAGAAAGGGCTGATCCTGCTGCCGCTCAGACAACACACTGGCTTGGGGCTTGGCCCCTGTGACCAGTGTGAGGTGAGCAGGGCGGGCGGGCGGCTCCCAAGGCCAGTGACCAGAGTAAGTCTTAGGCAGCCGCGCTGCCTGTTGGCTGGGCGAACCCTTTGCCAAATCCCACATTCCCTTGGATGTGGGTGTATTCACAGCTCAGGGCCCTTTGTTACTGCACACCTGACACTTGTGTTTGAGAGGAGATTCCTCAAATGCCAGGAATAGCTTGGAAGGGAGACTGCACATGCCAGTATATTTCTGGTGGTCCTTGATGGGACAGACTTCTGTCTCCAGACCCCGGGTCTGCGGACAGCTGCTCCCGGGAAACGGCCTTTCCAGATCAAAGCGTGAAGACAGCATCAAGCAGCCCCATGCTTGTGGTGGGTCTCACGTGGTGCCTGGAGCAACGCCCCTCCCCCCCTTACTCCCTGTGGACACACGGCCCTGTTCCCCCTCTGAAGGCCCCTCTGCCTCCAGCTCCTGGCATCTCTCCTGGTTGCCAAGTGTCACTTCTCCCTGTGGATACCTCCCCGCTGCCCCGCTTTTCTGGCAGCAGCCAGTTTCAGACGGGTTGCCAACGTGGCAGAACCCCAGGAAGGGCCATGGCAGGCAGTGGCTCAGGGACTTGGGGAAACTCGGCAAAGTGCTGCAAAGAGGGAACCTGGGAGGCCAGAGGCACAGCAAGGCCCAAGGCCCAAGTGCCGGAGGGAGAGTCATGTTCTGACCAAGGCGCAGACCTGGCCTTCAGAGGCCCAGGCTGCTCTTCTCACTGCTGCTGACAAAGCCTGCTTGTGGGTGGTGGGCACTTCTAAACCGGAGAGGCACTGATTCTCACAACCAGGGGCAGGGTCGTGTGGGATCAGGGGTAAGAGCTCTCTCTCTCCCCACCAAGCCATTCCGTTCCCGTAGAAGGGGCAGAGAGGGCCGCAGAGAACATGGGCGCAGTGAGGGGTTTTTGTCTTCTTTCACAATGAGGGACAGCTGAAGGGGGACTGTGGCACCATGTCTTCCATAATGCTGCCCAGATGCTAAGCCATGAGATTCATATTCCTGTTTCTGAACTGAGCTTAGAGTCAGCTTAGAGAATCATGGAGAGATGAGGGCCTGGCTCAGGTGCCACAGGACCACCAGCCGTTTGGGGCAAGGCCAGACAAATCCAATCCCACAAGAAGTTACTGAGCACCTAGACAAGCTTTCAGGGAAGTCACATGTGTGAATAAATCATGGATGCTTTATACGACCACTCCACAAGCTTGTTCTGTTGGTCACCAGCTATGGGAAGAAGCCCAAATGTGGGAGGCTTCAGGTTTGACATGAATGGGGGTCAGAAGACCTCATTCTCCGGCTGTCAAAGACTGAGGAGGCCTTTTCTCATCCAGCGCCCAGAGAGCAAAGCCCGAGTCAGCACAGAGCATGAGCCCTTTTAGGGCTTTGGGGATGCTAATACCCAGGAGTAGAGGACCAGGCCAACCCTCAAGAGAACTTCGGAATTCTCTGCCTGGCCTTCTTCTAAACCACAAAGACCAGGAGAAAGTGATCTATGTGTGGAAAAAAACAGAGAAGAAGCAAGCAAGACTCAAGGCACACTACACTTACCCACCACCTGACAGTCATCTAGAATATACCTGAACCCAGTGCTGGACACAACCATCTTTGTCATCTCAGCCCCAGAGTCCTGACACCCCCATTCCAGGATCAGACACACACACACACACACACACACACACACACACACACACACGAGGGCCAGACCCTGGGACGTTGAGTTTCTCTCTTAAGTGCAGCTGATGAAGCAGGACGAACCCAGGCTACACCTGCCCCTGCAGCAGGGCGCCCCTTCCCAGTCCATTGGCAGGTGCCTCTGAAGAGGCCGAGGGAGAGGCAGGGAAGAGTTCATCAGAGGAAACCACAGGAGAGGTGGTCCCTGTGGCCTTGACTCAGAGGAACCTCCTGTCCTGGGCATGGGGGAGCTTTTAGTCACTCACAAGAGGATTACGGTCATCTTGTTGACTCTGACCCTTGAGCTTCTTCTTAAAGATGGAAATGGAAGTAGAAGGCTTATAGAAAATGCTCCAGATTTCTCCTGATGTCCCTGGTTGACGACAATCCCTAAGGTCCCCTGAAGCAGGAACACGATGTGATCTGTCAAACAAAAAGAACCTAAGAGTTCTTCCTGCCCAGTAGAACAAAGCAGCCCAAACAATCTATGTCGCATGAGAGACCTGTACCTATGAAATGGGACGCTCGGTGAAGGCAGGTCACGGGAAAGACCTAAGTGCTGCTTTTAGGGATCTGAAGGACTATTGTGCCGATGAAATGCGTCCTGTGGGGTGGGAGTGCAGCGGGGCAGATTCCAGCTCAGTTTAACAAAGAACTTGCTAACTCGCAGAATTATTTCAATCTGGAAAGGGCTGTCCTGAGACATTGCATTTTCAAATTCATTTTTTTAAAAATAGAAGAATGCTTTCTTCAAATTACATTTATCAAGTTAAAACGGGACAAAGGCGGAACTACTCTGCAGGATTGGGTCCTGCCTCAGCACCAATGCTGCGTGGCAGGGAAGCTGCAGAGGGGCTCCAGGGTCAGGTAGGAGCCAGATATGCACTTTAGGGCCGTGAGCTGCTGGGCCCTATAGGAAGCCTCCTGCTCTCCTGCTATTGTGGTAGACACGTGTTCAGGCCTGTACCGAGAGGCTTCCAGAACATGTAAATTGTGCCTAAAAATATATATATATATATGGCATGTGAGTGGGCTCAGTAAACAATAATGACACTGTTTCCACTGAAAAATGTAAAGCGCAGGGTGGAGAGGCGTGTGGGTGGTCCCAGTCTGACCACAGCCTTCAGAGGGCAATGGAGGAGCCGTCACTTAATGTAGAAACGCCTGTGGCTGAGGGCTAGTGAGAAGGTCAGGGAAAAGTGGCTTTCACTGGACACCAACATTCAGGAAGGCCTTGAAATGCAGACAGCCTATATATCAATTATATCTCAAAAAAAAAAAAAAAAGTCCAGAAAAAATTAGAAAGGGCCCCCTCTGTAAACACACAAACTTCAGTAACCCCTTTCCCGGAAGGAAGAACTGCTAAACCTGAACAGCAAAATAAAGGAGGAAAATTTTTTTTTTTTCCAAATGGTCAGAATTGAAGGATGAAGCTTTCGTGAGCTTCTTAAATAACTGCCTTAAAATGACTATTAAGAATAGTTAATAAATGTTAGATTCTCCTCCTAAGAATGTTTCGGTTTCTACAAGGCACTGGGAAATATGCCTGGTACCATCCCAGCAATCTCTATTCCTGCATCAAGATCTCTTCAAGGCTAGCACAAGGCAAAACATAGAAATTGTTGTTTTTTATGCCCAGGTTGTCTCAATCCCCCTTGAAACTGTTATCATTTGGACACAGTAGCAAACACAGTCACTCGGACCTTAGTGAAACTTGTCCAGTTGTACATCTCACTCTCGAGAGAATGCGGACTATCACTGTTATATGTTCCCTACGACTGAGGGCTCTGGGTCATGTTCTGCTGTCACGCTTTCACCCAGACAAACGAAGCTCGTAGAAAAGGAGCTCTGAGCCTTCGCTCGTGGAATTGGGCAGCTCCATCGTACTTACCTGAACGTGACGTGCAGCAGGATCTTTGCTACGATGGCTGTGACTGTGAGGATGAGGAGAGTTGCCAGGCCATACACTGTCCATCCTGCAAAAGACAGGGCCCATCAGACCTGCTTGAGCTCAGTTTTCAGAAGGAAGCCCTGAGGCTGGCAGCTCAGAGACGCAGGTCTGGCCAAGGAGCTCCCTGCAAGTGGGAAAAACGACCAAACGCAGCTAAGCGCCAGGCCGCATGGAGGCCAGCCTTCTGAGCACCTCGCCTGGCTTTGGGCTCCCTCTTGGAGAGAGGCAGGCGATGTGGTCCAAGATGCACTGGACTCAGTCAGAAATGATGGTGTACATTCTGTCTCTATTACCGGATCCACTGTGCACCCACAAATGAGTTACATAGACTCTGTGGGCCTCGGTTTCCTCGCCTGAGGAATGAGATGTGTGACCAGTGAAATCCTATCGGGATTCACAAACAAATGACGTGGGGCAAGCACTAGAGAGGCTCTCTGCCCTGACCTTCTATGGAGGGTCCTGCGGGGGACCTGGAGAACAGTCTGAAAATCTCTAGCCTAGGTAATTGCTAACAATACGCTGCAGCTCTATCAGCTCACAAAGTCCCCAATTTCCTTGGCAGAAAAGAGAGAATGGAAGTCTGTACCCAACCAAGTTAAACCACAAGACCATTACCCACTCTCTATCCTTCTCCTGCATGACTTTTCTCCCTAGCTCTTATCACTATCTGACTTTTTATTTTGCTTCTTGTCGTTTCTTCCTATTTATAAACCACTGGGGGGAAAAGTTATTCAGTTAATTGTATAGTCCAGTGCCTAGAATAGCATCTGGTACCATTAAAGCACTTATGTATCTTTTGAACGAATGAATGAGTAAGTAGAGCTCCTGAAATTGCCAATTTAGGGAGCAACACTTGGGGTTCTAGAAAGATATTCTCAATGTGAGAAAACACTGGACTAGCTGATTAACCATAACGTACAAAAGGCACACATGTTGTCTCTATGGAGGTGAGCACTTTTCCTTAAGGACTAAGGAGTCAAGCTAATGAGAACATGTCCCTCAAAGGCCATGTAACTGCCAAGGACACTGCCTTCAAGCTCTGTGGCTCCCACCCCCTTTGATGGTGTCCGGGAACTGCTACCTGGGACGGTCTGTGGTGGGTGGCTGGGGCTGGTGGTGATGACGTAGAGGACTTTGGAGGACCGGGCAGCACTGATGCTGAGGTTTGCCTGCTCCGTGATCACCTCGGCCAACGTCTGGTTGGCGGTGGGCCTCTCCTGTGGTGGTTCTTCCTTAACAGCTGGAAGATCAAAAGGAATGAACTGGGGGAAAGCTGATAAGGAAAATGAGGAACTAGGGAGGAGGAAGCACTGGTTCTATAGTGGAGCTCCTGGTTAGTAGAAAGGCTGTTTTCTCTGATCCAATTCTGGATGTAATCCTCTCTATTGGCCTCCACGCAGAACCTACCAGGCTCTGGCCCTGAAGAAGGCAGAAGGAATGCACTGTCAACTTCTAATCATCTGACCGGTCTGTCTGTGGACACCTGAGAACGCTTTATCATTTCCTACCTTGTGCCTTTGCAGCTATGGCTCCTTCTGCCTGGAAAGCCCTAGTCTTTTCTATCTGTGGACCCAAATCCTCCCTGTTCTCCAAGACTGGCCCACCTGTGGGGTGGCCTCCTCCCTCGGACTCCCTGTAGCACACACTGAGTGAACTCTTCTTGAGGCCCTTGACATCTAAGACAAAGATCAGGTCTTAGACACCCTGTGTTTCTCATGTGCTGGCAAAGATATGTGCCTGGAACACATATGCCCACATTAGAGACATAGAGTGGGGCTTCACCTCAGGATTTAAAGAAAGATGGGAAACCAATCTTCTGTGGGTGGCTTGGGTCCTGAGAGACAGGGTGATGGACCAAATGACCTCCTTAGAGCCTTCCAATTCTATCCGCCTCAGTTCTTTCTTTTGGTTGTTCTTTTAACCCTCCATGGAAACTGTCATTAGGACTACTAACATGGAAAACATGTACAGGTTTCACCTCTTTTCTGTATCATGAAACATATACAAGTTATGAAATGGGAGGGGGGAAACCCGTAAGTTAAGTCAGTAGCTCCTGATTAAGACCTCCCAGGAAGAACTGCCCAAGCTCCACAGGTCACCAGGGTGTGCAAGAGGAGCCAGAGACACACAGGAAAGTCTTACCTTGGTATAAGACAGCAAATCCCTGGGCCTGATTGATGCGATCAGAGAAGAAATACAAAATGACAAAATCCAGGGAGACATTAAAGGACAAAGGTGGGCGGTTCCTTCCATTGAAACGGACCAGGACTTGGTGGGTGTAGCCGTCCAGCAGCTCCACCATGTCTGCGGAATCCCTGATGTCAAATAAGGTGAAGTTGAAGTGGATGTGGGAGGCTCCCGGGACCCGAATGGTCCAGTAGCAGACCCTCCCTGTGGCGTAGGTGTCAGGGAAGTCAGGGGAATAGACTACAGAAGTCATGGCTGAGTAATTCCCACCGCAGGCGCCAACGAGAGCTGTGGGAGACAAAAGGACACGGCCCTCAGCCTGAGCTCAGCCAAAGGGCTCACTTTCTAACTAGTTACAACCAATTCTTCTGAACTTCTGAACGTGATCCAGTTTAGGACATTGCTTTTAGTCTAGAAAGCCAGACTGTCTTCTGTTTCGGGATCAAGTCACCAAATGAATCACTTAAACCCTGAACAAATGACTGTGGAAGCTTTTTTTTTTTTTGCCCAGGAGACCTTAGAATTAGAACACAGCACAGTGGTGTGGCCTAGGTGGGGGCCAGGCTGGAGTCAGAGAGTCTGGGTTTGGGACCAGCTGGGCCATGTGATCCTTCACTTCCAGGCCTCTCACGTCTTTCAGTCTTGAGGTTGGAGAGACCACCACCTGCTCCTGTATCACATGAATGTGTGAGGACAGATGAGATAAAACAGTGGGCCCTCTTGCAGGGGAGGCACTCCGTGAGGTAAAGCCGTGAAAAAGCAGGGCCTTACAGCACTGGGGCATCCCTGACACCTCAGAGGATCGACGCACACGACGGTCCACACGAGAGCTGACTTCTGCCTGGGGGGACTCACTCGGTCTGATCACTGTGTCGGCACTGAGTTCTCTGGACTCCATTTTTGATTTGCAGGTTCCAGGAAGGGGATACAACCACTTGACCGTATCTTATGTGGTGAAGTATAAATAAGGTCCTGGATGTGAACGTCCTTGAGAGGGAGTGTGGGGCTGGGATTTACAAAGCTTTGGGGGAGTTCCACTTCCCGTTAGGATGTAGAAAGCAGTAAGAGGATGCTTTCATCCAAACAATGAAAAAAGCTCAAAACTTTTATCAGCCTGTCAGAAAGCTGAGGTCTGAAGACAAAGGAAATTTAATTCTAAACAGCAAGAAGCCCCTCCAAGGAGAGTCGGACCACACCAAAGTGTTTCGTCTTTGACAGAGCAAGAGGAAGAGGTAGCCACCACAGAAGCAAGTAAGAAGCAAGCAGCTAAATTTTAACAACCCCCTAAAGGCTGAGTGTGGGCTAGCCTCTCAGTCTGGAGCCCCAGACACAACAGGGGTCTGCACTTAGTTGCAGGCAATTCTGGGCAGGCCCAGCCAACACCCACCACAACCCCCTCCCAAAGGAAGCACAGCCTTAGGCTGCTGGGAGAGGGGCAGCAAACCTTCTTGCTCCCAGAGCCGGAGTAGAAACAAAACCTGTTTGCGCCTGGGGAAAGGGAGTAGGAAACTCTCTCCTTCCTGCCAAAGTAACCAGGCAAAGATCTGCTTCTGGGAGAAGAGCAGAGGCAAAAGCCACCAACCCCAGGTTGCCCTGAGCCCAGGATTCTGCACCAATGAAAGCAGGGCAGGAAACGGTCTCCTTCCCAAGAGCCACCGCTGATGCAAGGAAGTGGTTAGCTGCCAGGGAGAGGGGGGCAGTGCAGGGATGCTGAAAAGGTTCCACCCTATGTCCTAAGACTGAGGATGCACAGTAAGACCAAGACATCACGCCACCCCTTGACCTCACAGAGCATAGCACCAAGTAACAGGCAATAGCACTGAGGGAGGGGAAGACCCCCTGGGTGGCATAGGCATGTAGCAACTACCCAAAGCTGAGGGTGGGACAGGAACACTGAAGAAGCCCACTGGCATCCCAGGCTCCACACGAAGCACAGGGAACAGCAGCTCATCACTGAAGGGATCTGAAACCTGATGTGCATTGAAGACAATGAGAGAAGCAAGAAAATCCAAACCCAGCTCACCACCGACAAAGGCTCAGTCCCCACACTGCACAGGCCTGCCCTCTTCCAGGGGTAAGTTCTACTGACCTCAGCCCCTGCCGTTCTTTTGCACATCGTGTATGGCATTCAATAAAATGTTACAACACACACATAAAAGCAAGCAAAAAAGAAAGAGGTGGAAAAAGACTAATTGTCAAGAGATAAAACATCTGTTGCAAACCTAAAATGAATATAATGTCAATCATATCTCAATTTTTAAAAAAGAGAGAGAAGACAATCCACAGAACCAGACTCAATGATGACCCAGACATTAGAACTACCAGACTACATGATTAATAGAGAAGGATCTAGTGGAAAAGATGGAGCATATGCTTGAACAGACTGGAAATTTCAGCAGAGATAGGAAATCTATATAAAAGAGTCAAATGTAAATGCTAGAAATAAAACAAACCATTATCAGAGATAAAAAATCCCTTTGATGAGCTTATAAACAGACTAAACAAAGCTGAGGAAAGAATAAAATAATATGAAAATAGGTCAATAGAAATTATCCAAAATGAGAGAAAAAAAATAAGTGAAAAAGGCAAAACAGCACCAGCTGTGGGATAATATCAAATGGTCTAACAATATGTAATTGGAGTCCCAGAAAGAAAAGAAAAAGAGAACAAGGCAGAAGAAATATTTGCAGAGAAAATACATGGCTAAGAATGCTCCAAGGTCAATGAAAAGTAATCGAAGAATCTCACCAAACTCCAAGCAAATAAATTAAAAACATTAAGAAAAACCATACCTAGACGTATCATAACTAATGTTGAAAACAAAGATAAAACCCGGAAAGCAGGCAGAAGGGAAAGCCTATATATAGGGGAACAAAACTGGAGCAGACATCTCTAGAAACGATGCAAGCCACAAACAAAGAAGAAATATTTTTTTAAGTACTAAAAGAAGGAAACCTGTCAGCACAGAATTCAATATCCAGCAGAAACATTTTTCAAGAGTGAAGGCGAACTGACTTTCTCAAACAAAAGCTGAGAGTGACCACTGACAGCAGACTGGCATTAGGGAAAATGCTAAGGAAACTTCTTTAGGCCACATGGAATAACAAAATGTGTGACCTGATGTGTCTGGTTCATCACGTGGTAGCACGTGTCAGTTCTTCATTTCATTTTTCATTTTATTATGTTATTTTTTAAAAAATTTAAATTGATTTTGAGAGAGGGAGAGAGATACATCACTCAGTTGCCTCCCATATGTGCCCAAACCGGGGGGAATGAACCCATAACCTAGGTATGTGCGCTGACTGGGAATTAAACCTGAGACCTTCCAGTGCATGGGACGATGCTCCAACCAACCAAGCCACATCAACCAGAGCAAGAGGATCTTTTAAAAAAACAAAAAAATCAAACAAACAAGAGAGGCCCTGGCCGGGTAGCCCGGTTGGTTAGAGCATAATTTCGATATGCCAAGGTTGTGGTGTCGATCCCCGGTCAGGGCACACACAAGTAACCAATGAATGCATAAATAAGTGGAACAACAAATTGATGTTTCTCTCTCTCCTTTCATCTCTCTAAAATAATCGATTTACACACACACACATACACACACACACACACAAGAGGATCTTAAAGCTAATACTGAGTAATTATATCAGTGTTTACATCAAATTGGAAAGGTTATCTTTCCAATTGTCTTTCCAGGTTGTCTAAGTATCTCCCAATAGGCCATGTCTCTCCAGCACATGACACAACTCATTAATTACTTGTTAAATGAATGTCTTCCTTTCTAGGACAGGGGCTGAGTCTTCTTGTTCAGCGCTGTATGGCAGGGCCTGGTCAGTGCCTGGCCTGCAGTAGGTGCTTAACAAGTATCACCAAGTGAATAAAATAATACATGGGAAGAAGTGGGGGGCAGGCTTGTTCCCCGGGCCCAAGGGTTCCTGTGTCTTCAACAGTGACAGGCACAGGCATACTCACTGTCAAAGAGGATGATCCGGCCATCGCCACCGCAGAGCTGGGTTTGATCCCCGAAGCAGACGCTGTTGCACTCAGTACTGGCTACCTCCCCATACTTCCAGTAATCCGGATTGTTTCCACAGAAGCAAGCATAGCCTGACTCCATCCCAGCAAACTACCACAACAGAGAAGCAGGACTCGGTAAGTGTCAATCAGGGATGTCAAGTGAACTGAAGGATCCTGGCAAGGTTGGTCCCCAGAAAGCAGCCAGCCTCATCTTCCCAGCCCACCCTTCCCCTGGGACCTCTCCTTGTCCCATTCTTACAACAGGTCATTACACACCGAGAGAGGGAAGAGTAAGAGAGAAAAGGAAAGGGAAGGAAGGAAATGAAACAACCTAATTTTCTTATTTTTTTGATATAACAAACAATAGCATTATTGAATCTTAATGGCCAACAAATGAATTTCAGATAGAGGAATGGAGAGGAAGAAAATATTTTGGACTGGTGTCCAGGCTGGGCCCCTGAATTTATCAAGGAAGCACCCACTCCCTTGGTTTATTCCCAGATCGCCCACAGAGCCAGAGATGTTCCTACTCGTAACACACACGGGCATAAGGAAATAAGTAACTCTGTCAGAAGTCAACTAGGGATGCAGATATTGGGGTTTTTCAGTCTTTGGACAAGAGAACTGCCTCATACTCCTCATTCCCAAGCCCCACTCTTCCTCCAACTTCTCCTTGGCGGAAAAACAGAGTTGTATGGCTTCACAGGTTATATTTCAAAAACTTATATATAGTTTAAAGTTTTACATCTTTACCTTGTTTCTATAGATATATAGTCACAGAGCAGTTACCTTGAACCTCTGACTCCGACAAAAACTGATGCAGGTTTGTATGGTAAGTTTGTTAGATGTTTTACTGGCGCCAGTTAGAGGAGGTGGGTTTCCATGATCCTTGTAGCAGCCAAGGTTTCCAGGCACTGTAGAAAAAAGAAAAACAAAAGAATTTCACAACATCTGGCTGTGAAACAACAAGAAGGAAAAGTGTTTTGTGCCAGGTACTTTCATCTCAGCCAATATTTCCACTCCTAAGGCACAATAAATAACAAGTAACAAACTTTAAAAATGGAAGCCTAGTGTCTTCTGCTAAATGCCACGCTTCTGTTTTATTTTGAAGAACTAGAAATACTTTCCTAAAAATAGAAGCTACAATATATAAACTGTTTCAGAATCACTAGAGATCAGGAAAATCCCTTGGAAGCCCATCGTCCTATGCCTTGTACCTCCCCTTGTTCCTTAAAAAGCGCCACAATGGGTTTCCTCAAGATCCTTGGTAAGTGTATTAGTTTCCTATTGCTAAGGGAACAAATTACCACAAACCTAGTGGCTTAAAACAGCATAGATTCATTATCTTACAGTTCAGGAGGTCAGAAGTACTAAATGGGTCTTATGGGGCTAAAATCAAGTGACAGCTGATTTTCCCTCTGGAGGCTCCAGGGGAGAGCCTCTGTTCCTTGCCTTTTCCATCTCCTAGAAGCTGCCTCTATTCCTTGGCTTGTGGCAGCACCATTCCAGCCTCCGTTTCCATCATCACATCACCTTCTCTGACTCTGATCCTCTGCCTCTCTGTTATAAGGACCTGTATGATTACATGAGACCTTACCTAGATAATTCAGGATAATCTCTCCATCTCAAAATTCTTAACTTAATCATACCTGCAAAGTCCCTTATGCCCTGTAAGGGATTACATAGACATTTTTTTTGGGGGGGGGGCATTATTTGGCTTATCACAGTAAACATTTAGTGTTTCACAATCACACAATCAGTTTGTTTGGTCTAGTAGAAAAAGCTGTATCTGACAATAAAGAAACCTGAATATATCAACTGTGGTAGACAGCTTTCAAGATGGTCCTCAATGACTCCCACCTCCTGGTGGTCATGCCCTTGTGTAATCCTCTTCCCTTGAGTGTGGGTTGGACTAGTGACTTGCTTTTGACCAATAGAATGTGGCTAAGTTGTTGGAATACCGCCTCTGTGATTAGGTTACAAGAGATTGTGACTTCTGTCTTGCTAGTAGACTCTTTCTATTGCCTTCTTGGCTTATATAGTTTTATGAAGCAATATGCCATGTCAGAGAGGTCATGTGACAAGGAACTGAGGATGGCCTTTAGTCAAAAGCCAGCAAGAAAGCAAGACTTTCACTTTCTACAAAGAATGAATCCTATCAACAATTATGTATGCTTGCAGTAGATCCTCCCCCAGTGGAGCTTTCAGATGTTACCAGAGGCCTGGCAGACACCTTGACTGCAGCCTTACGAGAGACCTTGAAGCAGAGGACCCAGAAAAGCCATATGCAGGTTTCCTGACCCACAGGAAGTGTGAGACAATAGGTGTATGTTGCCCTAACTGGTTTCTCAGTGGTTAGAGCGTTGGCCCATTGACTGAAGGGTCTCAGGGGCACGTACCTGGGTTGTGGGTTCGCTCCCTGTCCCCAGTCAGGGCACATGCAGGAGGCAACCAGTCAATGCGTCTCTCTCACACTGATGTTTTTTTCTCTCTCTCCCTCTCCCCCTCCCTTCTACTCTACTCTCTCAGAAAAGCAATGGAAAACATATTCTTAGGTGAGGATTAACAAAAAAGAAAAAAATGTATGCTGTTTTAAGTCACTACATTTTGGGGTAATTTGTTATACAGAAAGCGCTAATATACCTATATAATACATACTAAATAAATGTTTATTGAATGAAGGAATTAATTTATTGTGGCCCATGCACAAATCAACATCTGTGTTATTAATTTATGAATCACTCCACTATCAGATGAAGCTCTTCCCTACTTGCTCTATTTGGTTCCTCACAGCTTATAGAACTGAGTTATAATAAGACATGAATGAGGCCTGGTCCTAGAAGCACTTTTAGGTCAGTTAAGAGTGATATGTTTTCAACTCCAAAGTAAGCCACATAGACCCTTAGAAAGCATTTTTCCTTTATGTTTACGGTTGGAAAACAGCATGGTCCAATTTAATAAGCTTTATATCCACATTAGTCTTTTGACATCTAAAAATACACACATATGTACGTATGTACACACACACACACACACACACACACACACACACACACACTCTTAATTCCTGCCATCACCTACCTCTCACCAGCTCATTTTCAATTGGCAGGAAGGATCTCTGCTAACCCAAAAAGCTCCCCTTCCCCCTCTAAGCCAAGTGGTTACCCTTCTTCTTTACGTCACATATGGTTCAAATATAACAAATGTGGCTCACCACACACATGCTAAAGTGCATCTTTCGGAAACAAACCAAGTCTCTATAGTAGCAAATGTAAACAGAAAAACTCGGGGCAGTAGAAGCCTGGTGTTCAGGGGGCCTGGCTTGGGAATGGCTGGGTTTTAGAGTTTAAACAAATGCAGTGAGTCAAGCATCTCTAGCAGGGAGTGCATCACATAAGCCATGTTAAAGGGACCTGCATATGGAAAACCAAGCCATGCACTTAATGGTTCTTAGTAAGAACTACTTGATCATGATCATTCTGGTCATTTACTTTGATTTTTGTCTCATTTAGTTCATTATGCTCACCAGTAAGCATGTTATTAGGTATTAGTTATAGAGAGCCCAAGGCACATAACCATAAATGTGAAGATTAGACATAAACAAGGCCATGGGTTGCATTAATGCAGCTGGAACCTATTCACAACAGTTTGGCAAGCAAATCCAGGCAGCTCATGTTCCACTGAAGCAGTGAGGTCCCAAAACACATCCTAAGGCAGATCACTGGAAATCAGATCACAGCACGTTGCTTCTCCATCCATCTGAATATCAATGGCCTGAGGTATCACCCTTGTCGTCCAAGTTAATCACCTGCTGGACACTGTCAATTCTACCAGACATCTGTCCATGTCTCTCTGTCCCCACTGCCACTTCTCCAGTTTGGAACACCATCTCCTCCCTCTTGGGTTGCTGCTTCAGCCTCCCATTCCATCCTTGTTTCTAGGCTCACCCTACTCTAATCTAATTAGTCAGTTGCAACCAGGATAGTCTTTACAGTACATTCCAGGCAGAAGGAGTGGCAGGGGCAGAGGCCTAAGATAAGAATGGCCTTGGCCTTGCAGGAACAAAAAGAAGCAAGTATGACCAGTGACACACACACACAGAGAAAAGTAACAGGAGTTGGAGAGGGATGCTTAAAGCTGGGGACCTGCTTAAAAGCCTCAAAGATCCCTGGCTGCCCCACAAGGTGAAATCCAAACTCTCTCACATGTTACACAAGGCTTTCCCCCCTCTGAGCTGCTCCCCTTCCCCATTGGATGACCCCTCTATCCTGGGCTCACACTGTATCTATAGGTCAAAATAAATCATAGTGTATTTGCAAGTTTCCCAATTGCACACTGCACTCTGGCCTCTGGACTTGTGCACACGTTATCCCCTCTGCTGGGAATATTCTTCCCTACTTAAGATTGCAGTCTGAGCATCAGTTCCCTGGGAAGCCCCCATGGCCCTCCCCGTATCCCCCCACCCACACACAAGAAGGTTACATGTCCCTGCTATATAATCCTATAGCAGCCTATGCTGAACTTGATACTGAACATCTGTTTATGTGTCTCTCTCCCCAATTACCCAGGAACCACTTAAGCGTAGGACTATCTTTCGCACACCATTGTATTCCTAGGGCCTGGCATGGTCCCAGTCACATGGCAGGTGCTCTAAAACTGTGTTAAATGAACAAATGTTCTGTGTCGCCAGCTAAAATCATGGAGTGAGTGGGTAAAGGCACTTCTTAGGCAGCAGTGAATGAAGAGCACAGAGTAGAAGGGAAGAGCAGAGCTGATCTGTAACAACATTCACTTAAAGTGAGTAACCATTGGTTTTGAAACCTTCCTGCTCACTGTCCTCTCGGGCAACCTAGAAATACCATTTTAAATAACGGAGTTTTCCATAAAGGTTAACTTTAATACTTAAAATTTTATCTTTATCATTTTGGATGAAACCTTTCTAAAATGCATTAGCTATTTCTTTTAAAACAACACCACCAACACACACAAAAACCCAAAAACGTTAACCTAGTTTAACCTACTTTAAATTTTCTTGGTGGCTTGAGATCATCAAATATACTTCACCAAATGGCCCCAGACTGGTGTGCTATTTCCTTCTTCTTTTTTTTCGAAGGGGGGAACCTCTCTCCGAAGAGCCCAGCCTAGCCTCTAAGCAGTACTATTCTCCCAGCAGGCCCAAGGGAGCCAGCCTCGGTGTGTCTCAGTGATTTCCACAGGCACCTCTCCCTGGAGAGCCAGCAGTCCTTTCACCCTCTGGCTCCTAGGCCAAGTGTGCTCACTTAAGGGTCCTTTCCTCTAGGGCAGTGGTTCTCAACCTTCCTAATGCCACGACCCTTTAATACAGTTCCTCATGTTGTGGTGACCCTCAACCATAAAATTATTTTCGTTGCTACTTCATCACTGTAATTTTGCTTCTGTTATGAATCTTCATGTAAATATCTGATATGCAGGGTGTATTTTCATTGTTACAAATTGAACATAATTAAAGCATAGTGATTAATCACAAAAACAATATGTAATTATATATGTGTTTTCCGATGGTCTTAGGCGACCCCTGTGAAAGGGTCGTTCGACCCCCAAAAGGGTTGCGACCCACAGGTTGAGAACCGCTGCTCTAAGGCAATCATATGGAGACTGGGGCTTCCCCATGGCGTGGGTCAATTGGATTTCAATGGACTTAGCCCAGAGTAGCCCAGCCAAGGCCTAAGAGCCAAATCTAGTCCCAAAGGCTGCCACTAGTTCTGAAGATCTGACCTAGCCCCTGAGACACCAACCTAGAGCCGAACAGCCAAAGCCAGTCCCGAAGGGTGGAACCCACCCCAAGAGCCAAGCCCAGACCTGGGAACAGCTGTAGCCAGTCCTGAAGGGCGGAGCCTAGCTTTTCCAAGTTCAGTTTTATCAACAGTAGAATGAG